ATAGTAATATAATGTGAATATAAAAAATATTTTTATGAAGATTTTCATTTTCACAGAATCACACCTTACGTATTTTACTTATATATATACACTTCACCCAACCCATACATTAGCAACATCCTCGCTGTGATTTCATGTACCTTACTTTAAGTCGCAGTCGACATCATTGACACTAAAATGATTTAAATTAGCCGACAGCCATTCAATTAAATCATAGGAACACTTTGTTGACGCAGCAATATGCAACAAATTTTCATTGGTTATGCCAACTTCATAACCAAAATTGGCGCCATTTTGAGTTAAGAAAACCAATGCATCAACTTTATCTGAAAACAGAATAAAATTTTGATCAAAAATGCAAATGCAGGCTTACTTTTCAACCCCATATTAAAATATTTTTCATCAATAAACCTTGCTTGTCCAATTTTCTGTGAACTAATGATCACAGGAAATATGATTCAGGCAAATATTGTTGTCCATCTATATATTTGTCGGTCCATACACCAATAACACAATCACTTTCGAAATTTAGCCTGTCCTCCTTCTTTTTTTGATTGAGACAGGACAATAATCAAAAGCTCGGAGAGCAAAAAATAGGACTATGAAAGAACCAAAGAGATAAAAAGTACAAAATCATAACAATCTTCAATACTATTAAAAAACTGCTTCAATGAACCAATTAAGATTATGACTACCAGAGGGATTACAACTAATAAATAATATTTTTTTGAACTTTCGATACTAAACGAAATAGGTTCTTACGTTTTCAGTAGAAGAACTTACTTTTCATCAGCATCCTCATCAACAGCGTTCTACCATTACTATCGATGACATTTACATCCGCATGATGATTAACTAAAGATGTTGCCATTTCTATCTGATCAGATTCCAACGCCAATTCCAATGGGAACGTACTGCTGACTTCTTCATTGCACAGTTTGGGCAACTCAAACAGTTCATGTTTTGTACAGAAAAAGTTTTATGGAAATAAATAATTAAAATTGGAAAATTACGAGGCAAACAACTAGAATAAGTGAGATGAACGTATCAAAATCATATTCACCAAGATTTATTGTTTAATGGAAAATCAAACGTTGGAAACTGTTTTGCTTTCCCACTTAACTTTTGATGAGAGCATGAATGACTAAAAAGTCATTTCTTGCAATAGGTATTTTTTGCTGATAACACAGGGCTCATAAAAAAGATTAATGACTGCATGAGGCTACGACCCCGTCTAATTAACTCACTGCTAACATGTCAGCAATATTAAAGTAAAAGGACAGGAATAAACTTACTTCCTCAAAATGTTCAATAAAGAAGAGGAGTAATGTATCACTACGCCTCAGGCGAATAATTGAATGCAACACATGTTCAGCACAGCTGAAATTTACCATTACTTCCGTTTTAAAGAAATCTGAAGACGTCTCAAAGTTCACGTTAGTATTTTACCACTTACAATAAGCTTAGTGATGAACTATAAGTTATGTGAAAATATGTAGTTTCATTTCTTTTATTATTACATAGTTACTAAGTAAACTACTTAATGCTGCGCTGCGATAAAAATTTAACATACATTGTAGCAAAAATGAAATATGTTGTAAAGCAAATTCAAATTAAATCGCTTTTTACCATTAATCGATGTCAAAGATGGAAATAGAGAAAAAAAATTAATGAATCATGAAAATTATTAACAAGCAATAAACAGCAAGCTCTTTCACTAACCTCTTGATAAGATCATATAATAATGAAGCAGATATTTTAGCAAAATCATCAGCACTGAATTCATTCCATTTTGCTTTAATCATTTTCTCGCAGTAATCTTTTAATTGCACCAAGTCATTTTTGGTTGCAAATTCATACAGCATCACACAGCTGTCATAATCAATCCGACCTAGCAGAAGCAATTCACATCTAAAATTAGCACTTAAACAAAAACATCTGCATATCAGTCCAGCATTTGCTAATTTCCTTCTTCCGATTAATCCATAACCAAGTCGGTTCAACTCCGGATAAAGTTAGGCCGGAGATGAGGGATGAAATAAGCAAAAAGAATCGTATAGCAATCGCTCATCTATTGAAGGACATTTAAGAAAACGAAAATTTTTAAATTCTTTCAAAATAACCTTATCTGTAAGTCTAGAAAGCGATACTTGACGGCTGTTGTGAATATTTGCATCAAACAACGAGTTCCCAGTAAACCGTCTACGTGATCCGTATACATCCATTTCAAGACAGCACAGCCTATATTATAAGTAATATCTGCAAATAAAAGCAAACAAGATAATACATGTTCAAGTGCGGCAAAAATTTTTAAAGAAATGTGAACTAGCATATCGATCAACTTTAACATATCTGAGTTTTATACTGCAACAATACAACAAACTCTGAGCAACTTATAGCAGCATACATAACGAAATACATTACAATTATAACCTTCAAATTCAATGCGATCAATTCCCGAAAGATCATCCCAATAATCTGTTCTTGTTGCAATCACTAAGCGATGACCTCGAAACTGATGTCCATCGCAGTGGATTGTTATATCACTACAAAAGAATTTTATGTCTTTTCAAACATCAAAATAATTTCAATTTGATCGATAGTAACTGAAAAAAAATTCAGCCCCTCGATGAACAGATGACTAATCTATAAAATTGCTTAAAAAAAATACTTATTTTGCCAAGAAAAACAACTGAATTGCAAGATAAAATTAAGACCTATATAAATCGTTATCATATATTTCGGTAATTTTCGTCACAAGTTTTTGCACGAACGAAAGTTTCGAAGTGTCACCAATACAAGCATCATTGTTCCCCCTAGTTGAAGCCAGTATATCATAACGTTTCTGCAAATCGGCATAATTCTGCAGCAGTTTGACATGCTCCATCTGAAGAAATTCCATAAAACTCGCCATTGCTATATTCCAACAAGTTGTGCCTCCATCTCACTAATTACCTGGAAGTAATCATAAAAACTTCGCCAAACAAAAAGGTACTTTGTAACGCAGAAAATTTACAATGCTAGAAGTCACCACGTAAAATAACCAATAACCTTTAAAATAACAAAATACTTCACCCAGCTGCCATGAAATTCGACCTTCCGTAAAATGTAAAAGTGACAAAAGTCGGAAGAAGGACCGATATATCCCCACTTTACCTGGCATCGAGGTCAGGCAGTTAACATCAACACCATCTTAATTAAAAAGGGACGATATATCTAAGCTTATTTCCAGCAATTCAGGTATAATCCTGCATTTAGTTTTGTCACCTCTAGAAGAGATGCACATATAGAATGATCCTTGTTTCAGTGACCAATTTTGTGCAGTATAAAAAAACGTTGAGAAAAACGTGGTGTACACTTACTGCACATATTTATTAAATAATTTTGAAATTGCACAGTTTAAACAGCAAGGTGAAGAAAAACGCTGATAACGTGAGGTATTTTATTTATAGCGTAATAATGATTAACAAAGGAATACAAAAATACAGAAAGGAAATCAAATGAGAAGTGAATAAGAGAATTACGTGAGTGGTATTTTTCAAACAAACCGGTCAGTAATTACAAATACTTCGTATTTCAAGACCACTTTTCTAACAACCACAAATTTACTTCATGGATAAATACAAGCACGGAACTTCTTATATTATTGTATTTATGAATAGTACAGGAGAAGAATGTATTTTCAAAACGACACGAAAAATGATCAAAAGTTGCAAGCTAATAACTGAATAAGATATATAGAAGACATATTATAATGTTAACTGCATAAGTGAAGAACAACCAATAAAATAAAAGCAATCCGAAGATCAAATTCAATACAACTATCTTTTTTTCAACAGTGTTAGAGATTTAAGAGAACGAAATTGAATATTCTGAAAGATACGGCCGAAGAGATAAACGAAGTCATAACATTTTTCGCAAAATGTAAAGACACTGCAAAAAAAAGCAAGTTTTTCATTAATTCAAAAATCTTCATGGGAAAAAGAAATCATGTCTTCGACGATCAATTTTAACCAGGGAAAACCAATAACCACTTCATCAAAACAAAACGGTGGCTCTAAAACAGTAAGAAATGAGCTTAACATAGATAAGCATGAAAAATTGAAGATTTTTTCCCTTGAAGATTATTTCAGTATATGGCAACATCTTTCCAAATGCATTGAAATTTTTTCGTAATAAATGATCCTACTGATAAAAATAACTTATAGCAGAATATATCAGGTGTTCATAGGTCTCCAGCCACCAAATCCTTTCTCCAAATCCTGAGCCACTGCTACTAACAAAGAATCAGATCCTGGAGCACCGATAGCTTGTACACCAAGTGGAATATCATGATTGTTCAAACCCATTGGACACTGCACGGCCGGAAGAGCCAACGTATTCCACAGAGCAGTATAAGCGAAATTTAATGGAGTGAACAGCGGTTGGTTATGATAAGGTGCTTCAGTTGGAAACGATGGGAACAATAGGATACCATTATCTGATAGAAGTTCCTTAAGCTCCCGACTTAGCCGATCTCGCTGACTCCTTAGCTGAAAAAAGTTGTTTTAAGAATAAAAATTATAATTTCCATGGTGTTGTAGGGAATTTTTCGATAACTCTTAAATAGTTTCAAAAAAATTAAGAGACTTTCTCAATTGAACATAATCGAGAATTAAATTTGCAGCAAAATCAAGAATTAAATTTACAGTAAAGTCACCTTTTGTTTTTGTTCTTCATTGAATGGTGTAAAATGTTCGTCCACAATTCCAGTAACAATAGCCGGTAATGTATGTACCGATTTGCCTAATACCCATTTGAACAATTCAATGAAACAATTTATATTAACCTAGAAACGCGACAAATTTGGAAATAAAGGGAAAAAGAAAAAGTAGGACGTTAATTTCGGAATGCAAATCCTTTCCTCTTTTATTTGAAAAGTGAAAACTAATAATTCATTAACCTAATGCAAATTGATCACATTTTGAAACACATCCTGTACTATTCAGTAGCAGTGGGAGGATGGAATCAGTGTTATTTAAAATGGAAGGGTGAAGCAATTGTAAGAGAAGCCTTTGCAAGCAAAATGAAAAAAAGATTTACTTTCAAATCGGTCATATGCATAGCAAATTTCGGTGCATCTGCAACATCCATACTTGTTAAGAAAAATTCAAGCGCGTAATGAACGAGTGGTGGATCTAGACGAATGGCGCATAGGTCATATTTAATTTCAAAATAATGAATCGCCTGAAAATAAAGGCTCGGATTTCACAAATATATTATTCATCCACATTACTAACTGAAAGTGATGAAATCCATCGTCTTATCTTTCCAATTAAAAGAGTACTAAAAGGAAAGAAGTAAAAAAAAGCAAACCTAAAAGAAGAAATAACCTTCTGGCAAAGAATTAAATGAAAACATCAACACCTACATTAGCTTGGTGTTATTTTTATTTAATCGGATGAAATTCAGAGAGCTTGTATTACATAAGCTGCTGAAATATATGTTTTGCAAACACCGACTTAATGCCGTATTATATCATTACATGCATAGTTCGTTCATTTCTGGAACAACTCCAATTCATATACCAGCTTCACAGGATGCAAAGTTTGGTTCATAATAAGAAGTAAATGTTTCTAATCCAATCATTAAAACTACTTTCTTTCTTTAGCGTTTGGAAAGCTTCGTCATTCATATCTTGCACCAAAGGTGTCTTCAGGCCTTCCATATAGAAAACGCGTATTTTTTTCATATTGCACGGAGCATCCAGTTGTAACAAATTCGTGCCTTCAGTTCCCGCAAAAACCTATATGTTAAATCATTAGAACATCGCACAGATGATAAAACATCGGAAACGGAAATCATCAGATAAAGTTGACAGGAAATGTGAACGATACCCTTAACAGAACAGACAGATCTTCCGCGTAACGACATATAGGACCAATGAGTAGCATTTTCTCACTACGATATCCATTCAAATGAGGTAAATGTCCTTCTAGTGGTATGACACCTAAATATGACCGAGACTTTCAATAATCTAAGAAAACGTTACTGAATGTTCAAAATTGTTATTAATTGAGTTTTGCGACCGATCACGCGATACGGAAGACTTAGTTTTGCACAACTGAATGTTATGTAAACACGTTGGATATCTTATGTTATATAGTCTGATTTTGCAAAAGTTTTCAATATCACGGAATAAAATGACAAATGAAAATGCACCTGGAGTTGGTTTGAGACCGAAAACTCCATTAAAATAACAAGGCATACGAATTGAACCAGCGATGTCACTACCAATTCCGATTACTGAACCCGCAGCAGAAATTAATGCAGCTTCTCCGCCGCTACTACCACCAGATATTCGTCTACTGTCATACGGGTTTCTGGTACGACCATACACGACATTCACTGATTCCCACCACATGCATACCTCTGGAACATTAGTCACCGCGAGAAGGATTGCACCGGAATCTTTCATCCTACAAAAATAAGTAGAGGAAGTTTGAAATGTAATAATGTAAAGCTATTTAAATGAAAAGTAGCGGACAAGTTGACTGAAATGATATCACAACACTCCTTGCTATGGTTGCTTAGTTGAAAATGATGTATGGAGTGTTCTGAAGACTAAGAATAAAAAGAATTCGAACTAATTATTAAAGTGAAAGGACCTTTGCACAACGATCGCATCTTTGTTACTTACAGACTTTTCCCGATATGATATTCCAACAGTGCAATACAAACCATTCACTTCAATGGAATCCTTCAAGGTAAAAGGCACACCGAGCAATGGCTTCTTTACAGGAAGCTGAAAATAAACAATAAAAAAAAATAAAAAAAATAACAACGACTTGTTTAACTTACCAACTGAATCTTACTCTATTTACATAGGTCCACCTAGCGAATATCCTTAGCTGGAAAAACTTTTTTCCTGCAGATATCTTACTTAGCTTAACCTTGGGAATATCACCACAACCGTGATGAGTATTGTACGAAACTGCAAATTTTTTTCCCAACAAATTAATTCCAACATTAGAACGTCTAATAAGGAATGACATGAAGACGTACACTTTTGAAGTTGTCGCTATCTGCGTCAAGGCATTCTAACATTTCATCAATTTCCTGAGCCTTTATTAATGCTTCTTTAAAATTCATCTGAACAACCGCATTAATTGTCCCATTCACTTCCTTGATGCGCCTAATATAAGCTTCGACCAGGTTGAGGCTTGTTATCTGAACACTTAATATTTAATTCCGCCATGCAAATCGTAACGTAGTTAAAAAAAATTTAACTGTTCTGCATATTACACTTGTATCGTCCATTTCCACAAGGATCTCAATCTTTTCCTAACAGAAAGAATAAAAACATTTCATAATCTTGAAACCTACATAACCATGAACTGAAATAAAGCTTAACACACTATGCCATTCTTTATTACAGTTTTTTTTTTTAAATTCGTTTGATTTCCTAAAATAAAATAAGATCATCATACTAAATAAATCACGAAGTATCGGAAGTAATCGACTGTCAATGCAATCACTCTTAACTGTTAGATATTCCTAACTCTCAGGTAGAGAGAATTAATTCCTCATTTTCGGATCATTTGAGCAACTCGAATAATTGCTACGATGATAATAATATACGCAGGCATGCCAAGTTCATTACTACAGGACCATTTAAGCCTATTTATGCATAATGTTTTACAGGCTCTTGTGACTAACAATAACAAACAAGCTCAACTACTCCAGATTACCTCTCGATTTCGGATCATTTGAGCAGCTCGTGTGGCACTGATCATGAGTAGTTTATCTCGTGGTGTGCTGATCACTTTTCTTGATAAAAAATAATAGATGAAAGTGAAAAGATAGTGAATAACAGCGAAATATACCCTTGAAATGACGAAGAATAATGGCTTTAACCTTTTCATAACGGTTACTAACATATCACTCGTGTAATCTGCAAATGATATTCTTCCATTTTACTTCCTTCCTCCGCGCACACGTAAGCAAAAGCGGAAATTGACACTGATTGAGGATGGATGGAAAACTTTTTAATTAAAATTATAGCAGCAATGCCTGTAGCCTTCCTACGAATATCTTTCACCCTCAACCTTTTGGATTACTTTTAAAACTTGCATAAGAGTCCAACCACCGGACATCCCCGCCTCCATGCGTAATGTCGAGTGGGCATTTTGAAATGTGTCAATTGATCAGCTGACAATATTTTTCGATTTTTTTTGGAACAGTTTTCGAATTTTCATTGCAAGATATGGAATAATATTTGAAGCTTTGTTTCTTTAAAATTTGTGAAATAATTTGAAGTGCTTGCGGGAGAGACAGTCGCGCACGTCTCCGGTCATCTTTGTTCTTTCGCATTTGGCACAAAAAATTCCAAACTTGAGCTCATCAAAATTTGAAAAGGGAAATTTCATGTGAAACTCGTCTTTGCATACTGAGATCCTTGGAATCGTGCGGGGCAAGGGTCGTTCAAAAATTTGAAATTTTAATAATGCAGAAGTGCTGTCTAATAAATGTAATAAATGATTTGCAAATTTTGGTTTAAAAATTTAACATCATTTTCGATAGTTCATTTCTCAGTTTTTATATTGTTGGAAAGAAAAAGGTGGTTGAGTATCACTCACTTTTATGGCTGTACTGGGTACGGTATTGGCTGCTGCATTCTTGCTTTTCGTATGGTTTCTATATGGCAAGCGTGAAATTCATCCCAAGAATTCTATCAAAGTAAGCCGGTTATCAGAACTACACTTTTCCGCTTCCACTACCATTTACTGGGCCTTCTCGCTTCCAATATCATTTGGTAGATAATTTTCTTTTCCGGGAATAGTACAAAAACTACTTCCCATTGGATAAGATGAGTGATGTATGAAACATTAAGAGGACGGATAGAAATGAAGTCTGTCAAACAAAAATGGATTTTCGATTGAAATATTTACGAAAACTTCTGAGATCACTATATAACCAATAATGCTTCCTACAATAGTATGTAGCATAACGAAGTAGGAAAAGAGAGCTCATGTTTGGAAATGTTTATGGATATATTATATTTTAGACAAGTTCACGAAATCTCGCACTTATTTCAAATTTCAAATTTACATGCGAGAAAGGAAAAGTTGAAACAGAACGAACAGATGCTCAGAATCTATCAATAAACAGTGGCCAAACATTAAGGACGGACATTTTACGCACAGGAAATTCGTGGAAGTCGAACAAAATTTCGTCAACTCAAGATTCGGATATAAATAATACAGTGATTGGAGCAAATAGTTCGGTGATCCAGGAATCACAGAATACACAGGATTCTATGACAATCGAGAATGAGGACAATTCGTTGACGAGAATAAATACAAGAAGTGAATCAATGTACTTCTCAGGCCAAGTTCCCAACGAGTACAATTTGAAAATTTCAACTCTAGAATCTCTAGAATGTGCAATTACACCAACAAGTCTAGAGAATCCATTATCAGATGGAGTGTTATCCAAAGATGTTTCATCTAGCACACATAGTTTATCAGCACTGGAAACCGGCATCACCGTAACAGATATGACTGCGGAAGTGCCAAGTGCGCTGAAAACTGCATCAGTTCTTAAACTGGATAGTTTGCTGGAAGTAGACTGCCTTACAACTACCGATAAGGTAAAATCAGTGCAGGATAACGTGCTAGTGTTACAAAGCGAAACTGCAACAAATGCCAGTTGCGATGCAGACTTGAAGACCGAATATTCCATAACAAAGATGAAATCATCATTATTGGACACTGATAATGATCCAAA